TTCAGTGGGAATAGGGGTGATGTCACCTTGTAGGTGGGCATATTCAGGCAGGATGTCTCCCCAGCTACAGCAGAAGCCTGGGTAACTGTCACAGCAGCCTCCTCCATCCTCTGATCAGAGCCTCCTCTCCCCTAGGACCAGGTATCTGCTGAGTTGAGAACATCCAGCTGGACCCCAAACCACTGGAACTCCCAAGGCCAGGCAGAGTCAGAGTAGGGACAGGGAATAACAGAGAGAGATCATGGCAGCAGGTCCTGGACCAGCCTGAGGAATTTTTCCTTCAAGATTGGCAGACCACTGAAATCAAAGCCCTTAGCATTGTTCTAGTCCTGGGTGGGGAAGGCATTAAAAAAAAGAAAAAAGCATGAAATTATCTAGTCCAGTGACTTCTGTGTATGGAAGAAAAGCCAGGGCCCAGCAGAATATGTGGGCTGTCTAAGGTCACCTACAAGTCAGAAGCAGACTTTCCACCATAATTCACACCTCTTGACTCCCAGGCCATTGCCAACTGGGAGAGGTGGTATGTTGGTGCCAAGATGGGACAGGTGGCAGAGAAAGACCTATTCTGCCACCAACCTGCTGTGTGACCTTCAGCAAGTCACTTCCCCTCTCTGAGCCTCATGTTCTCTTTCCTCAAAATGAAATAATGATCTCAGCTCTGCCTTTCTGCCAAGAGATGTCCAGTGAGAGATGAACTTGACTACAAGAACCCTGGGAGGGGAGTCACCAATAAGAGGCAGGCTGATGCCAGGTGGGTAAATGCCAGGGTTGAACCTGGCACCTCCAGGCCCTCCTACACCACATGCCCAAGCCTGCAGCTTCTTTGGGTCCCTGCCCAAGCGGTGCCATCTGTGTGGTAGCATCACCTCCCCTCCTCCTGCCTCCCTGCCTGGAAAAAGCCTTCTGGGATCTTCTCACTTCATCAGAATCTTCCCTCTTCCTCCCCAGCCAGACCCTCTTCTCACCCCTTCCATACCAGTTAGGACTCTTGACTGCAGGCGACAGAAATCAGAAGTACAAAGAGGGAGAACTAGCTATAGGAATCGCTAGAGCTGAAAAGCTAAAAGATGTCATCAGGACACGCTTCTTGCTTGTTCAGTCTCCCTCCCATTGTCTCTCTGTCCCTTAACTGTGCCTTTGCCCTCAGGCAGGACATCCTCCTGAGGTGGCAAAGGTAGACACTAACAGCTCCAAGCTGGCACCACCCCCATTCGGGTATCCTGACTGAGAATAGTTCTGTCTGATTGTTCCAGCAAATGTCCAGGGTGATTCTCAGGGGCAGGGCACACATGGTGTCTTTGATTATGTGAATAGGCCTGGGTTACCTGCCCACCCCCAAACTAGAAACTCCTCAGCCATGCATGCCTCATGGACACAGTGGTGGGAAGTGGTTGTTCAAAACAAAAAAAGGTAGTCCAGGCTGGGCTCGGTGCCTCCTGCCTGTACTCCTAACACTCTGGGAGGCGGAAGGGTGGATTGCCTGAGCTCACAGGTTCAAGACCAGCCTGAGCCAGAGCAAGACCTTGTGTCTAAAAATAGTCAGGCATTGTGGCAGGCACCTGTACTTGGGAGGCTGAGGCAATAGTATTATTTAAGCCCAGGAATTTGAGGTTGCTGTGAGCTATGATGCCACAGCACTCTGCCAAGGGCGACAAGTGAGACTCGTCTCAAAAAAAAAAAAAAAAGGACACAATTGTAAGAGGGACTTTACATAACAAATGCAATCAATGTAACCTGGTTCTTTGTGCCCTCAATGAATCCCCAACAATAGAAAAAAAAAAGAGAGAGGGCCAGCGCCTGTGGCTCAGTGGGTAGGGCACTGGCCCCATATACCGAGGGTGGCGGGTTCAAACCCGGTCCCGGCCAAACTGCAACAAAAAAATAGCTGGGCATTGTGGTGGGCACCTGTAGTCCCAGCTACTTGGGGCTGAGGCAAGAGAATCGTCTATGCCCAGGAGTTGGAGGTTGCTGTGAGCTGTGTGACACCACAGTACTCTACTGAGGGTGCAAAAAAAAAAAAAAGAGAGAGAGAGAGACAGAGGAAAAAAAAAATGAGCAGCACCGTAGCTCAGTGGGTAGGGCACCGTGGCCACATACACTGATGCTAGTGGGTTTGAACCCAGCCCCGGCCAACTAAAACAATGACAACTACAATAACAACAACAAAAATAGCCAGCTTTGTGGCAGGTGCCTGTAGTCCCAGCTACTTGGGAGGCTGAGGCAAGAATCACTTAAACCCAAGATTTTGAGGTTGCTGTGAGCTATGATGCCACGACACTCTACCCAGGGCAACAGCTTGAGACTGTCTCAAAAAAAAAAAAAAAAAGTGGGATGCTCATGGGAAGCTAGGACTTTAAGACTGGCCTTGGCGACTTAGTGAGATTCTGTCTCTAAAAAGAAATACTTGTTTTTAATAATTAGCTGGGTGAGGGCGGCGCCTATGGCTCAGAAGGGTAGGAAGCCGGCCCCATATGCCAGAGGTAGAGGGTTCAAACCCAGCTCTGGCCAAAAAAAAATTAGCTGGGTGTAGGTCGGGCGCATTGGCTCACTCCTATAATCCTGGCACTCAGGGAGGCCAAGGCAGGTGGATCACCTGAGCTCACCAGTTCAAGACTAGTCTAAGCAAGGGTGAGACCCCATCTCTAAAAATAGCTGGTGTTGTGGCGAGTGCCTGTAGTCCCAGCTACTCTGGAGGCTGAGAATCATTTAAGCCCAAGAGTTTGAGGTTGCTATAAGCTATGACGCCATGGCACTCTACCAAGGGCAACAAAGTGAGACTCTGTCTCAAAAAAAAAAAAAAAGCTCTATCTCTTAAAAAAATAAAACCAAAAGTGATGGCCAGGCACAGTGGCACATGCCTATAATCCTAGCAATTCGAGAAGCTGGGGCAGGTGGATGGCTTCAGCCCAGGATTTTGAATTCAAGCCCAGCTTGGGCAACATAGTAAGATCCCATGTCTAGAACAAGCAAACATGGATTCTGTCACCAGAAAAGGATGTTGGATCATCAGATACAATAGGTATCTTGGCACCTTTGTTCCTAAGCATGTCAGCTGATCTTACACTAAGTATATCAGGTGAAAGATTAAACCAGGGGGTTGGGGGAATGGGGTTATGTGTATAGTTAGCTTTTGCTGTATAACAAATTACTCCTTGACTTGGTGGTCTAAGATAATCATTTTATTTCTTTCTTTCTTTATTTATTATTATCTTTTGAGACAGAGTCTCACTGTTTTGCCCCTGGTAGAGTGCCATGGCATCATAGCTCATAACAACCTCAGTCTCTTGGGCTCAATCAATTCTCTTGCTTCAGCCTCCCAAGTAACTGGGACTACAGGTGCTATTTTTAGAGATGGGGTCTCACTCTTGCTCAGGCTGGTCTAGAACTCATGAACTTAGGCAATCCGCCCACCTTGGCCTCCCAGAGTGCTGGCATTACAGGCCACCATGCCTGCTATTTAGTTCACAATTCTGTGGGTTACCTGGGAGATTCTTCAGGTCTAGGGTGTATCTGTGGTGAGTTAGTGATCTAGGCTGACCTAGGATGGCCTTGCTTTTGTGTCTGACTGCTGACTGGCTATCAGCTGCCCTACCTTCTGTTTACTCCACGTGACTTCTCATCCTCCAGCAGGCCAGCTTGTTTACAAGGTGGTCTTTTTTTTTTATGAGACAGAGCCTCAAGCTATCCCCCTGGGTAGAGTGCTGTGGCATTATAGCTCACAGCAACTTCCAACTCCTGGGCTCAAGC